GGGTCCATTTCCTTGAAAAATGAAACTTAACCAGGCACTTTGAAGAAGCTCTGCTCTGACGCTGGTAGTCTATGTCTATTATTATCTTAATAATGTGGGTTTACACACCCAGAACCAAACATTTTGACTTCTGGACTTGCATAGTCGGCAAGACGCTATGGACTACAAAATCACACAGCGGGGGAAAAAATGGCGGACTATGAAATCCAGTTGGCAGGAAATACATGACCATATATGGTAGTTCCTAGGAAAATAGTGTGACGAAATAAGCAATGAAACGTAATAAGCAACAGCAGATTTTTGAACAAACTGAAAAATATGACCCATAAAAATATATAAAAATATCTTTGCAGTAACAGAACAGAATAAATTAATGTTTTCTACACTCCTAGAAACTATAACTGCACAAAAAAATAGTTTAAAAATGCAAAAAAAGTGCATTTAGCATGATATGTCTCCTTTAACATAAACAAAATTGACTGAGTCACTGAGGTCAGTTATTATAGCGAGCATCTTGTCCAATGGTTCAAAAGATACTGTATTTTGCTAACAGACAAGGTTGACTACAAACTTTCAACAGCACTCATGGTATGTTTTTGCGACGACTTCCTGCTTCTAGCACACCAGCATTTAGCCTCATATCTGTAAAACCAGCTGAATTATAGCATTTTTTAAAAAGATAGTGGTTGAATAGATAATAATTCTTCACACCCTGTCTGCTCTAAATAAGATACTGACTTTTTATAACTTCACCAAACATGAAAGAAACCAAACTACCTTAAAAGACCTTAACTTAAAGATGATGTTATAAAGGCTCAGTGTGTGTTTTAACTCACAGGTGTGCAGGCACTCTGTGACAGTGGTCGGTTTGATCAGGTAACCTCGGCACAGGTAACAGGTGATGAAGTGGTTGAAATCCCTCACCATGTGCCTCCTTCCTGTAGCAGCCATGTTTGGAGTACTTTATTGTTTGTTTGTTTGTTTTTTTGGTCAAGTTTGCAGAAATACGAAGGAGGCGAAGCTGAAGGGAAACTTGTCCCTGGAGCTTCAGGAGAGTCGGGGATCCATTCAGAGCAGAAGCACTGGGTGTGAGGAGTGATGAGTCCAGGATAAAGAAGAAGAATGACTCTACTGTGTAAAATCCTGCTCCATTCTTGGCGTGAAGTTCTGCAATCAGTTCTTTGTAAAACAAAGCTTCCACCCCGATGTTATTCCATCGTCGTCCAACAACATTCAGGCCATTAAAGTGAAACTCAAACCACCAAGTTGAGTAACCGTCTTTCAGATGAACCTGTTACATAAAATCTCTGTGGGTGAAATGACAATCATTGTGGTCTGATCCAAAGGGCCTTTTTTATTCCATGAAGGGTCAGAGGTCAGCTACGGAGAAGCCAGTCTCTCCAACCTGGTGGGAGACGTCGATGTCACCTGAAAAAGGATGAAAGATAAAAGTCAGAACTTGATTTGAGCATTGGTAATTAAGAACAAGGAAAAAGCACCAGGAACAACAGCTTGTCCAAACATTTCCCACCAAACGATGAGACACAAGTTTATTTTGTAATTAAAGGCCAAAGAGTTCCTCGAAGAAATGAACACCACCTGTTATCCACAACAATGAGTTCAAGTAGAAATGCACGTATTCAAAACAATCCCACACTGCTGAAATTAACCGACAACTTAACATTTTTGTGCACCATCTTCTCAATAAGCTTTGGTCCAAATTTGAAGTCAATACACATAAATTGGAGGATAATATATGATTTAGTGTGACATGAGATTTGCCAAAAATTGGACATTTTTTTCAAAATAACCAACTTCTTTTAGGTTATAGAGTATTGTGCCATGAGACTTTTTTTGTCAGTACTGGAGTGATGTACCTGTGTACCAAATTTCACGTGTGTATGTTTAAGTCATGAGAGGGGCTGATGTTTAGGGGGCGCTAGAGAGCCCATTTGCCACGCCCACGTCTGGATCTTCGCTGCTCCCCAGTTTTAAAATAGTTCTACGGAAATGCTAAGTTTCATAAATCTTAGCCCGTATAGAACACGGTGAAAAAAGCCTCTCATCACGAGAAAAAAATAAGAATAATCAGGATGTTTTGTCATTAGGGCCTGGTTGTTTTTGACCTAACAATTTAGACAATCATAAAGGAAGAAACTGTAGGACACTGACACAGACTGATGACATGGAGATGGCTCCATGCTGTTGAAGCAGTGACACTGAAGGCTTGTTTCTTTTTTTCACCAAATTTAATTCAAAAGCTTTTAAACTGACGGAGTTATAGACGTACGTGCGTGCGCGTGCGTGTGTGTGTGTGTGTGTGTGTGTGTGTGTGTGTGTGTGTGTGTGTGTGTGTGAAGGCTAGTTAATTATGGTGGTAATCCTGCATTGTGTTAACGCAGAAAGTGAATCTGAAAGCACCAAGCAGTACTGCTGCAACAAGCAAGCATGGTGGTTGCAGTGTCATGATGTGGGGAATGGTTTTACCTATCCTGTGACCCTGCATGAAAAGAGCTGGACTGATGGATGGATGGCTTATTTGTAATAATAATAATAATAATAATAAAAACAATGAATGTTTTTTTTATAAATTTGCAACCCAGTCTTATTACTTTGTCCTTTTTTATGGAAAATGTTTTAATAACTGCCGATTTCTCATTATAAATCAAAATTTGTTCATTTTAACCTAATTTTTGTTACTTTTTAATAAACACTTGATAAACATGTTGATTTACAGTAGCCTTTTCAGAAGTTATGTCTACAGTTTTTCAATTTGCATCAGTTGTGAGAAATTTTCTTTAATAAACATGATCATTGTTCAAATTATTCACCAAAAACTGCTACAAATTCAACTTATTTACATCCATTTTTGCAGATTGCAAAAACTTCCGTAGCAGATGACCTCATTTAGAGATATTTTTAATTAACAAACCCACAAACTATACCTTTCAAATGTGTTAATGCAAAACTTAATTAGGTGGGGGGGGAACTGTGATTCTTGGAGTTTTCATTCCCTTGTACAGAATAAACTCAGGATTTGACACTAAAATCAAATAAAAATGCAGAACAAAGTGAAAGTCCTACTTTTATCAGAGGAGGGCTTTATTTTTCAGTGTGTGTGTGTGTGTGTGTGTGTGTGTGTGTGTGTGTGTGTGTGTGTGTGTGTGTGTGTGTGTG